AGTTACACTGTCTTAGGAAATGGAAGAGGGAGGAGAGAGAACCATTAGCTTTGGGAGGAAGAATACATATCCTAGTGGAGGAAAAATTGTGAAGTCATTGTGAGTCATTGGAAGTAGGCATGCTTTCCTTTTTTTTTTTTTTTTTTTTAAAGGAAGAGCTAAACTCATTTTGCGATTTTAAACTAATTTGGTTGTACTTCATGAGCTTTGTGTCATTCAGAGAACTTGGAAACATTCATTTTCCCTCCTGCTGAATCAGCAGAGTAGGTGGAAGAGCTTTAAAAAGCTCTCAAGGACCATCTTCCTTTGCCAATGGATGCAAGAGGAGGACAGCTGGGCAACTGAAACAGAGCCAAAAGGTGTTTGGGAAGTGGGAGCCACCTCAGCACTGAGCACCCGGGAAGCTTCAGCGGGGTTCGGGTCCTGGAGATGTTGGCACTGGTTATGGCCCCAGTCGGTTTTGTTAGGGAAGAGAGAAGTGCTTTTCAAGGTCAGAAAAGGGATTCATTTTGCATATTAGAACATCATCTTAAATAAAATAATGCAGTGTGATTTAAAAAAAAATCACTCCCCAAACATGAAATGGATAACTTCTGATTTGTTTCCTTCCCAAGGTGGTCAGCCTCAAGGCCAGTTGGGTATTTGCTCCCCTGGACTGCCTGGGTTAGTTGATGGAGGAGTTGGAATTTGTGGAGGGAAAAGAAGAAGAGAGTATGCCATGAGCTCAGAAAGCAGCTTGTGCTTTGGATCCAGAACAAGGAGAGAGGGACCAAGTCTGAGCTGAGTGGCATGAAATTTGGGGTGTATTTTGAAGGAAACCAGAGGGCTCAAAGGTACTATATTAGGATACAGTGAGCTAGTCAAACAAAGACCCCGTAAAATTGTAAAACGGCAGCAGTAACAAGGTAAAACAGAAATGATTATATGGATCCCTGTCCGTATATAGGTTAGTGGGACAACAATGTGAAAATGTAAGTGATTCATGGTAGGAAGGAGAGATACATGGAGCTATGAGAACTTGTAACAGGAGAGGCCAGAGTGGTCCACAGTGGTTTGGACAGTCTGGATTGATGTTTGGTAGGAATGAGGGTGGCAGAGGTGACTTTCACAATGGCTGGTATCAATCCGTATTCTTGGGATGGGGGAGGAATAAGGGAGATGATGGATCGAGGTCTTTGGCAGGGCCTAGGACAACTCTTGTGAGGTCTTTTGGAGGGTTGTATCAGAGAAATGCCTTGTTTTAGGCCAGGATATAACAGTACTGCAAGGAAAATTAGTGAAGCTTTTAAAAACCGAGGACCACCAGGAGGGGGCAAATCATGATTCTGAGCTTTTCCTAAACTTCCTCCTCCACCATGCTCTTCCAAGTTTGCATTATGGTTCACATGGAGGATCCTTAGGTTGATGGGGACACCTGCCTGTCTCCCTGTTCTTTGGAAGGATAGTGTGGATTGCTGCCGGGCCTTGCCAATCAGGAAGACTGACCTTGGTCAGCTGTGGGTTTCTCTGGCGCTGGCTGCCTGACGGTCACCTAGTGATACCTTGTAATGTCAGGGAAGAGATTTTTGCAGGCCGGTGCATTCAGGGAGCCAGTTTACTCCAATCTGTCCATCATCTTTGTGGTGCACGGCATTTACTTTGCCAGTCTTGGCTTGAGATAGCTCAGGTCGTTACATGACCACAAAGTGGAAATCTGGAAAGAGAAGTGCTCAGCCAGGCGTGGCAGGTTTCCAGACACTGCACTGATCGGTAGAGTCCTGCCCTTTTGTGGGCAGGAAGGACCTGATCAGAGTGCTCTGTGCCTTAGAGCTGTTCCTCGAAGGCCACCTGGATGACTGGATGCTCCCACAGCCTTTGTTCTGCCAGAGCAGCGAACCCACAGAGGTATATGAAAGCTGCTGAGATTGGACACCCCCAATCGTCTACCTGGAGGCACTGACATTGGGTCATGGTATACAAGAAATACGGGGAAAGAGGAAGGCCCCTTCGTTTACCCATTTGCTATTCTGGCTGCTGGCATTTTTTTTTTTAAGACATTTATTTAAAGGAAGTTGTGATGGTTGTCATAGTGAGATGCAGAGAGTGGGTAAACATACCAAAATGTGCTACTCCCCTAAAGTCTGGATCCTTGGCTCCTTCCTGGAGGATGATGAATTCATGTCCTTTAAGAGGTTGTTTTGGAGCTTCTGAGACCTCTGGGTGAAATATACCCTTTTCGTATTGGACGTCAGAATCACCTGTGGAGAGGTTCTGGACGGTGCTTGGACCTCCAAACCAAAGATTCTGATTTAATGACTGTGGGACATAGTGGATTAATTCTGTAGGTGATTCTAATTTTCAGCCATACTTGGGAACCTGACCACTAGTTACTGGTCCAAGGAAGCTCTTTTGATTCTTCAGGCGAATGCTGCCTGCTTGTTTCCTCGTACAGGCCTTGAACCGGAACCCTAGCATTGACCACACGTTTGGTCTTTCCTCCTCTGCGTGCCACTTTCCAGCCTGTTTTGGAGTGCTTTTCCCTGGCTTTGCCTTAGCCTAGATCAGGACTGGCGGCTCACTTCTTTCTTATCTATGAAGAAAAGGATAACTTCATGTGGGGATTTTGATGGGCTGATATTCTGGAACATTTTTTCACAAAGCTTCCTGCTTGAGGCTCAAATGCATAGTAGCTTCTTGCTGTGGAAATCCAGGCCCTGGGGTGGAGATAGACAGGGCAGCCTTGTGACTGGTATAAGAAAAACGCCTTTATTTACTCTCTTCTGTACATCATGAAAGGCTTAGGCTTAGTATTTCTTTTCTTTCTTATTTCTTTTTTTTTTTTTTTGAGACAGAGTGTTGCTCTGTTGCCCAGGCTGGAGTGCAGTGGCACGAGCACAGCTTACTGCAACCTCCGCCTCCCAGGTTCAGGCAATTCTTCTGCCTCAGCCTCCGGAGTAGCTGGGACTACAGGCGCATGCTAGCACACCCGGCTAATTTTTTGTATTTTTAGTAGAGATGGGGTTTCACTGTGTTAGCCAGGATGGTCTCGATCTCCTGGTTTCGTGATCTGCCCGCCTGGGCCTCCCAAAGTGCTGGGATTACAGATGTGAGCCACCGTACCTGGTCGAAAGGCTTAGTATTTCTACCACCGTGTTTCTTAGGCCCTGTAGACTCTGGGACAGCAGACTCCAGGGAGTCATAGGTAGGCATTGCCAGGGAGCAGGGCTGAATCAGTAACATTTTTGATATGGGCACTTATCAAGATAAACTTCTGTAAGTGCATATGTAGGGCTGTGGATCAAGTCCCAGCAGATGTTGGGTCATGTGGCATCAGGCAGGGGCTTCTAAGACCCAGAGCTAATAAGAGATCTGAACAAGACCAAATTGGAGGGGGCTGTTCTCCCCTCCTTACTTTTGCCTCTCTTGTCCTCTATTCCTCACTGTGCCTGGTCCACTCCCATCCAAGCTTTAGGATTTCCTGAGGCCTCTGGCTATGCTAGAAAGTATCTCTTCACCTCCACCGCATCAGGTGCCCCTGTTCAGTGCTCCCATAACGCAGGTGCATAGTGGGATCACTACACTTACCATAGAGGGTATAGCTCAGGAGAAGAGCATTTCACTGCGGATCACTACACTTACCCATTATTTTATCATTCATTTTGAGTGTCTGGATCTATTGTTTATTCAGACAGAGCAACTTGAGGGTCTTGTTCACTTTTGTATCTCCATCACATTGCATACTTCCTGGTATGTAATAGGGCTCAATAAATATTTGTTAAGTGAATGAATCCATAAATTCTTTGTGGGAGTGATATAAATAACTCCTATCAAGATGTTATTGTTGAACACTGCTTTTTTATTACAGTGCTATTACCTTGTACATAAACTTATTTACAGTCTTGTATTCAAGATGCATGTTAAGGGAGATTTTTCTAGGATAAAGAGCACATTCCAGATAGTTTGGGACACTGAGCATTTTTGATGTATGGCAAGCATTTTAGTGGAAAGTGCAGTGCTTCAACTGTATTTCCTTGACTTTAATACTTCTCTGGAAGCTGAGTATTATTTCTGATAATTAATTTTAATTAGTTAATTGTGTGTGTTTATTGTATTTTTTTGCTTAATAGTATAAGACTAGTATGTAGTGTAGCGTAGTGAAGGAGTCCTGGATTAGGTAATCGAGAGACGCAGGTTGAGCTCTGCATCTAACTATGGGAGCAGGCAAGTCAGTTTCCTGCTTACATTCAACTCATGTAAAATGGGAGTGTTGTGCTTGTTTGGGGGTTGCAATTGTCCACTCCTGCAGGAGTGAGGCTACCAACTTGAGTTGTTATATGTGCTCTACCTTTTTTTTTTTTTTGCAACTAGGACCCTTTTGTTTTCCCACTTTTGTTAGAATTATAAGTAGAAGAAAATATTTCTGTACCACAAGAAAAACAATAACGCAAAGGCAATGACTAATGATAACCCCAGTTCTTCTCTGTGTTGAGGAGACAATAGGGAGTGGTGGGGACTGTGGTATATTGGAGCAGCCAAGCCTGCCTATGAAGGGCGACTGCTGTTAATGCTTAGCACTACCTGATTATTGTCAGACTAAATATGGGCCATGTTAACAGGTCTGTTTTTTTTTTTTTAAGAGAAGCCAGAAGTCAGTTTTTATGTGATATCTCTGATTTTTATGTTTGGTTCAGATTTTCTAAACATATCCATAGATGAAATGTAACACTTCCACAGGCTGGATGTCACCCACTGTGCTTTCAGTTTGTGATCTCTGTTAAAGATGAACTCCAAAGCTCCCTTCTGCCTAAGATTCTATAGTTCTCATGGGGACCATTTCAGCTGGTGAATTAAAGATTCTTCTTCTACTTTGGGAAGTCAGAGTGGGGAAGGGAGTTGGGCTAAAAGAGATAGGGGATTAAGCCTAAATTGCCTGGCAATTGATGTTTAAATGAGTCCCCTTGGGGAGAGGCCCCAGGGTGCCTGTGATTCACACCAGGTGTTTTGTACTTTTGTCATTGCAGGAGTTGGCATCCTTTGGAAGAGTTCGTGAAACCTTTCTGCCCAGAGCTCCTGGACCAATGCATCTTCCCACCACCTTAAACCACTGGTGAATATATGCGTTTTTTTTGCTGCTTCTCAGTGAAGGGAAATACTTTGTTAACTGTAGAATGTGATTTGCAGAGAACCATGCTGTTCTTTCTTTTATAGAAGGAAGGAAGGATACTGGGCTGGGCCTAGGCACATCTGGGTTTTGGTACTTACTTGGTTCTGCAATTTTTACTGTGGAATTGTAGGTGAATTCTTTGACCTCCCAGGCCCCAGACAGAGAAACCTATCCTGCTGTTTACAGGATATGTTTGCTTTGCAGACTAAAAGAGATAATGTGTGCAAGAAATAATATATGCAAGAATGCTTATATTTGCTCAGGGAGAGTAAAGTCTTGGGCAAATATAAGGTAATACTATTTGGCTCTGAGATGCAGAGCAAGGCAATTCTCCACCTACTCCCTACATTTATTAACTTTATTAACATACTTTTCAAGTTGGAGTTCCAGGTATAAGTGTTACAGTGTATCTGCCATACTCAGCCCAGTTCAACTGACCACCAGATTGGGGCTTCCTGCCTTGGCTTTGTAATGTTCATAGACATCTTCATCTGCTAGTCTCATAGTGGTATTCAAGCAGGGCACTTCTCAGCCAACAGATACGTTAAAGTGTGAAAACCGATAATGTTGGAAACAATGGTTTTTTTTTTTTTTTTTTTTTTTTTTTTTGAGATGGAGTCTCACTCTGTCTCCAGGCTTGAGTGCAATGACACGATCTTGACTCACTGCAAACTCCACCTCCTGGGTTCAAGCGATTCTCGTGTCTCAGCCTCCTGAGTAGCTGGATTACAGGCACACGCCACCATACCCAGCTAATTTTTGTATTTTTAGTAGAGATGGGGTTTCACCATGTTGGCCAGGATGATCTACATCTGCTGAACTGTGATCCACCCTCCTTGGCCTCCCGAAGTGCTGGGATTACAGGCGTGAGCTACTGCACCCAGCCAACAGTGGGTTTTAAATATTTATTTTCTGAGACTTCCAGAGTGTTCTTTAAGAGATTTGCATTGTCTCTCTTTCTTTTCCTTCCTACCAGTATAGCTGCCATTTTCTTGAAAGATAAATTAATGACATTTCACAATTACCTTTATTTTTATTTGAGATCAGATAATTTCACAGTTAACAAATGTTCTTCCTTTTTTGCAAGAAACTTAATTACTCATCACAGCAGGTACACGTCTTGCCTCTATGACAGTTGAAAGAGGCAAAAACATGTCCTTAATAATAGTGTGTTCCAGTGCTGAGGTGAGAGTGCCTTCAGGGATGCTAGCTAGCTGATGTTGAAGTCTTAGGTGAGATATCGAGGGGAAAGACCACCATGAGCTAGGGATGCCGAACAACCCACACATCTTTATTTCAGCTACTCTTTGTAGAGAAAAGTTGGCCTGTTTAACACTGACTCCCTGGTCAGTGCCAACGATGTGGATCAGGTGCTCTCATGACCCACTGAGACAGATCCCAGTGGGATGGCTACCTGGTGAGCTTGCAAGGTGCTGGGGTTTGGGACAAGAAGGAAGGGTAGTCAGTTAGGATAAGCAGGCCCAGGATTAGGGAGCAAGCTCAGCCACAGGAGCCTGGCTGTCTAGACTGCCCTGTCCGAGGGGACACAATGGACATTCTGAGTCCCAGAACCTGACTCCCATCTAGGCAGGAAAAACTCTGTGGTGGAAGTCCTCAGGGAAGCAGATGGCATCAGGTAGCAGGACACTTACCCATTCAGCAAATAAGTATCAATGCCTGTTCTGGGCCCTGGGGTGGTGCTTCAGCGGTCATAAGGCAGACTGTGTCTGTGCCTCTCTGGACCTTTGATTTGAATGGGAATGATAAATAAGAGTGTGCACTCCATGAGGGTAGAGATTTTTGCTTGTCTTGTCTTGTTCACTCTTGTATCCTCAGCTCTTAGAAGAGTACCTCACACCTGATGGGTGCTCACTAAGTATTGTGAGCAATACTTATGAAGAAATCAAACAAATAACTAAATAGACAATATAATTTCAGGTAGTAATGAGTGCTATGAAAACAGTAAAACAAGGTGAGGGGCTGGTGGGACTCTTAGAAAGAATGGTCTGAAAAGGCTTCTGTGCGTGTGAGAGAGAAAAAGAAGGAGATTGATTTTGTGCAGACACTTGAGTGGTGTCAAGGAATCAGGGGAGGAGTGTTCAAGCAGAGGGAAGAGTAAGTGAAAAGAAAGGCCTTTGACGCAGGACAAGCTTGGCATGGTAGAGGAACAGAGGCAGCCAGTTTAGCTGGACTTGGGCTGTGGGTGTTTATAGGGAGGATGAGTGATAAGTAGGAGCCAGACCCTGCAGGCCATGGTAAGGAGTTTGATTTTTACTTTGAGAGTGCTTGGATTTCATAGTCCATGTGATCTTCTTTGTGCTTTAACATTTTTCCTCTGGATCCTGAGTGCAGAATAGATTCTAGGGGCAAGAGAAGAATCTGTATAACCGATAGGAGGTCCTTTCAGTGGTCCAGGCAGGAGATTAGGGTGTGGCTTGGATTAGAGTAGTGAGCATTGACTGATATGAAGAAGTGGTCAGGCTCAGGACACATTTTGAAGGTAGAGCCTGCTGGGTTGCATGTGGCTTGTGAGCAAGAAGAAGAGTCAAGGATTAGTCCGGTGTTTTTGGCTAGGCAAATGACATTGCTGTTCACTGAGATAAGGAGCAAAGAGGGACGCTAAGGGTTCTGTTGGGGCATCTTAGGTTTGAGATGCCCATTTGATATTCCCATAGAGATGTAGAGTTGACTGGGGCTGGAAATGGTATCTCTCAGAGTCATCAGCATATAGATGATATTTAAAACCATGAAACTGAATGAGATCATCTAGGGAGAGAAAGGAAGAGATGCGTAGGATTTTTGACAGAGAAAAGAGGGAAGGCGAAGGCAAAGGGTAGATTTTCCATATAAAGTCCCTACTAAGATGTAAATGTGAAGACATGCTAATGAATATGGTTTTCATTTTATGCAAATATAAATCATACAAATGAGATAATATGATATAAAAGTAGTCATAAAGCCTCACCTTATATAAAAAGTTTGAAATGCTGTGACTTCCCCAAATCAAGAAAACTAGTTTTAAGATTGCATAATCATAAATCTGGTCAGCTGAGTGAATTATTAGCAAGCAGGAAGATCCAGCAGCCTTTGCCAATAGCCTGTAAGCTATTGCTCTTATGCACTGGAACTTCTACAAGCCATTTCAATGACTAAGTTTAATTTACTCTTAATACATTTTAGTTATTTTCCTCATTCAACAATTACGTCATCCAAAAGTTCATTAATTGAGGGTTCACTAAGTGAAAACATACCTGAAAATCAGTAATTTTTCAATGAAAAGTTAAATGTGATAAAATTTTCTGAAGAAGGCCCAACAGGCACTGTGATTTACAGGGCCATAAGTTAGAAGATACAATTATCTTCAAAATATCAAGGATGAATGCACAAGATAAAAAATACAGTGTGATGTTTGTGGTAACTGAATGCATTTCACCTACCCCTCACCTGCCATTGACTAATATGAGAAAATTAGTTGACTCATATTCTGGTCATCTATTTGTGGGCTTCTGGCATAAAATGCAGCTGCTCCATATTTGCTTTGTCTGTTTCATGGACAATTTGTCCTACTGAGCTCCTTCCATCTTCTCACTGGGCGCCTTAGTTTTCCCATTTTCAGGCTCCTAGTGAGTTCCTTTAGTCTTGCAGTCTCCAGGTGCCATAGACATTTTTGCCTCCTACCACCATCACTAGCTCCAAAGTGTGTCTGCCTCCTCCCTCTGACTGCCTTTGTGATCCTTTCAGTTTAGGAAACTTCCAATCCCCGTGCCCCAAAAGCTTTTGAATATCCTCAAGATTTCCTTCTTTGAAAACATTTTCACTCCTTCCCTCAACTTCAACCCCATGTGGTCTTCTCAGGCCTTTTGTGGAAATTATGACAAAAGAGAGGGCAGGGTGATCAGCAGCATTCTAGAATGGGGTCTGTCCTTCCCGTGGGTATGGGCAGTGCTGACTTGCTTCTACATGTATTTAAAGACTCTCCAGCTTGAGTGAAAACACTCTGAGTGGTACTTCCGGAACATCTAATCTCTAGAAAATGAGCATTGATTGTGTAATGTTCTATGTCTATGACCGATGGTTTATGGCAAATGAGGGTTTCAGGGGAGCAGTATTTATGAGGAATGGCCTCAACCCTGGTTTTCGTTTGTTATCTTTTCTCACAGAGTGGCACCTAAATAAAATTAAAAAGAATGAAACTTCCTGGAAATCATAGGGGGAGGATTTTTCCTTCTGCTTCCTTCTTCAGTAAGTGATTTCAGGAATTAAAAAAAGTATGGAATCTTCCCATGCCCCTGGAGACTTAAGTGGTGGGACATTTAAAAACTGGTGGTATCCTTCTTAAGTTAAAAACACAAAAACACAAAACAAAAAACTGCTGAGGCTGTAGAATAGTCTTCAGTGCTTGTATACTTGTAGACCATCTCAGGAACAGAGGCCTGAGATGCATAGCTACTTTAAATTTTTTTTGTGTTATGTTTGTGTGTTATCTTTAAAAAGGATAATAATAGTATCCCCTTTATTCTTTGCAAATGATCTGGAAACATTGAAAGTTTCCTCACCAGTTGATTTTATAACTGCTCTTGCTGCATGTGTCTTCTGATTGAGGGCATCACCTGTTCACAATGCCTTTAACAGGTTGGAGACTTCATGTTCATTAACAACTTGGGACTGGAGTACTTCGACTTGAGTTTCAAATTTTGCATGTATGGGGATATGTCAGTCAGGCCAATTTCTTTCTTTTATCCTTATCCTTATTTCTGAAAAGGATTTAAAGCTGTATGTGCTCAATATATTTTTTTATTCAGCAGCTGTAGACAAATATGGATTTGAAATGAGGTAGTTACCATGAGTTGACCCACAAATTATGGCCATTTCAACTGAACGTCTCACTGCTGCCCTTTAGAGCAAGGTCTTCTTGCATTGTGGAACAGAACAGGATTGGAATC